TGGTGGATAAAATTGCTCCATTTTGAGGAACATGATGAATATTGGTTGAGATCTGGTGAATAAAAATTCTGCAGCAGTCGCCTGTTCAGGGCTGAGAGCAGCAGCACATTCGACTTCCCCCTCGGCTATGGGCTGCGATACCGAGGTAACAAATGTTTGGTTTTTCACTCTTACTCTGACTGAGTGGAGGAAAATGAGCAGAGGTTGAGTTAAACACTGTCCACCTTCTCCCTACGAAGACTCCTCTCAACAAACAACAGGTAAAAAAAAGCAAGTTGCAGTTTTTTTGTGTTATAACAATTAAACACTCAGTGTTCGCAGACACACAACACGTTACCATGTGTTTGTGTTACCATGTGTTTGTGTTACCATGTGTTTGTGTTACCATGTGTTTGTGTTACCATGCTTGTGCTCTTTATCTTTAGTGCAGTTTCTGTGTAACACTGCGAGGACACCAAATAACAATTACTCTAATCCCAGTAGTGTTCCCTTCACTTTCTTTTTTTCTCTTTGGCCCACCTTATCTGCTTGCCTTTTTGAAAGCGCACTCACTTCTTTGTATAAATGCAGAGGAAGCTAATAGAAAGTACTACTTTAGTGTTATCTTTCTCTGTTTCTCTTTGTCTGCAAGTTTTACTTTAGTTTCCCCGTCATTTGTTTGTTCTATATCAGCTGCAGCTCCTTTGTTTCTGTTTCAAGCCCTTTATCCCTTCTTTGTGCTGAATTACACATGCACTCTTATCTGTGCTTCTTTTGCTCCTTATACAATAATAATGCAAAAAGAATGCTCTATAATTTTCTTGTCAGGCCTTGTGGTTTTACACCAGCTGGGTCAAATTAAATATTGTTTAAATTTTAGCCCTTGGAACATCTTATGGGGGGGGGGGGGGGGGGAATCACCCACAAATTTATAATTGATGCTTATATTAATTATTTTATTTTGGTGCAGTCAATAAACACGTCTTTTCTAAGTGTTTTTCTGCTTTGTCAGAATTTTTTTAAATGCTCCTGTAACCTCACGGTAACTTTACTACTGCAGTGTTGTCTAGTGAAAAATCGACCACTGAGAAATTTCATTATTTTATTTTATTATTTATTTCATTGGGGGGAGTGGTGGCGCAGAGGTTAGAGAGGTGGGCTTATGATCCGAAGATCGCCGGTTCACGCCCCGGCCCCGACAACATCAAAATTGTGGGTGGGGTAGGGGAAACACCCACACTTGCCCCCACCCTCATTCGCCCCACACTGGGCCCATGAGCAAGGCCCTTAACCCCCACCATGTGCTCCCTAAACAGGTCTCTCTTGAAAATGAGTTCTCGTGGCTCAATGAGACTAACCTGGATAAATAAAGGCTAAATGAAAAAAAAAAAAATTATAAATGCATTTTTAATTTCCATTTTTTATAATTTCATAAAGCAATGCATTCCTCTCAGTAATGCTTTTTTTTCTTTTTCTCTCTATCCCTATTTTTTTGTTTTTAATTAGCCCACTAGATAGTGCTCTGCTTTAACATTTGAAGGCATCTGTAAAAATGTACAAAGATATTATTTCCCGTCTTATTATTTTAAGAAAAAAATTAAATGAAAAATAAATAACAAAACCATCCTTGTTGAACTACTGAGCCATAAGTGAATGTTTGACTTTAAACAAGGCATTATCTTCAGCTCCCTGATCTGCAGGGTATTCACAAAACTTTGAAATGGACATTTTAAAAATTGTAAAAAAAAACCTAAAAAAAAAACTTGTGATGTACTAATGAGAAAAGTTGCTTGTACTGGAAATACATTTTCCATTCATCTGTTTTCTAATACATTATAATATGTATTACTGTATATTATAATCCTTCAAAACCAGCCACTAGAGAGCACAAGCCAGTGTCTCTCTGTCTGGTCCCAATCCTGGGTAAATGGTGAGGGTTGTGTCAGGAAGGGCATCCAGTGTAAAACTGTTTTGCCAAAACTAACATGCAAGTTCATCAAAGTGACACCATACCGGATCGGTTACAACATAACAACGACCGCCATCGGTGCTGTTGACAAACAAGGTGTGGGCAGAAATTGTGCTACTGTTAGTCAAAGATCACGAGGAGGAAAACGTGTCAGGATACAGAGGGAGAAGAGGAAAGTGAAGAATGTAGGACTGAGGGTTGCAACTCTAAATGTGGAGACAATGACAGGCAAAGGCAGAGAGCTGGCTGACATGATGCAGAGAAGGAAGGTAGATGTTTTATGTGTCCAAGAGACCAAGTGGAAGGGCAGCAAGGCTCGCAACATTGGAGCAGGGTTCAAACTGTTTTACCATGGTGTGGATAGAAATGGAGTAGGGGTGGTCCTGAAGGAGGAGTTGGCAAAGAATGTAGTAGAGGTGAAAAGAGTATCTGATAGGGTGATGTGCCTGAAGGTAGAAGTGGAAGGTCTGATGCTAAATGTTGTCAGTGGTTATGTTCCACAGGCTGGATGTGATGAGGAGGATAAAATTTAAATTTGGAAGGATCTGGATGAAGTGATATAGAGTATTTCCAGGGAGGAGAGAGTGGTGATCGGAGCAGACCTGAATGGACATGTTGGTGAAGGAAACAGAGGGGATGAGGAAGTGATGGGTAAGTTTGGTGTCAAGGATAGAAACGAAGATGACAGATTGTGCATTTTGACAAGATAATGAAAATGGCTGTAGTCAGTGCTTATTTCCAAAAGAGAGAGGAACATAGCGTGATTGTCTTTGTGGAGGAAGGAGTACACAGGTCGACTACATTCTGTGCAGAAGAGGAAACCTGAGGGAGATTGGAGACTGTAAGGTTGTGGCAGGGGAGAGTGTGGCCAGACAGCATTGAATGGTTGTGTGTAGAAGGATGTTGTGAAGGAGAAATATACTAAAAATCAGAGAAGAAGACCAAATGGTGGAATCTGAAGAAGGAAGAATTTTGTGAGAAGTTCAGAGAGGAGCTGTTAAAGGGTCTGGGTGTTAAGAGTTTCCAGATGACTGGACTACTACAGCAACAGTAATTAGAGAGACAGGTAGGAAGGTACTTGGTGCGTCATCTGGACAGAGAATGGATGATAAGGAAACCTGGTGGTGGAATAGTGAAGTGCAGGAAGATATTCAAAGAAAGAAGTTAGCCCAAAAGAAATATGACAGTGAGAGGACTGAAGAGAGAAGACAGGACTATAAGCACTAGTCATCATTAACTTCACACAGACTCTCTCACTGGTACATTTTCATCTTTAAATCACTTCTTGGTCTGTTGCTTTCATACAGTATATCTCCTCCTACATGTCACTATGTGAGTGCAGCTACAGCATGTGCACTCAGGACATTATTACATGCAGTGTTCCCTCAGTGCGGACTGAACTAGGCAAAAGGGCCTTCTACTCTGCTCCCATATCCTGGAACACCTTGCATAAAGATCTGAAGCTGTCAACTTTGACCTCTGTAAGTGGCTTCAAAACAACTGCTATGTTCATGGCAAAAAACCAACACAGACATGTTCCTGTTTTTAGTATTTTACATTGTTTTATAATGTAGCTGTTCTTGTTTCATTTTT